ATTCTGGCGGCCGCAGAGTACAGTTGGATGTTTCTGCCAGACATGCGAGGTCAGTGTCTGTAATAGATACAGGCTGCTTCAGCAAGAAACAAAGGAGGTTTTAAGAACATTAAAGTAGGCGTCTTTCTTCGAACTGCTGATGTGTTCATGAAGTATGTTTGTGCACGTTTGCATATTAATGCAAAGCCTGTTATTATCACTCTGTGCTACACGTAAAATATAAAATACACAGTTTAACTCTCAGATCTTGCAATGGAAAGTTACTAAATCTAAGTAAATCTAATGTAGTTATGTTAGACAAACCCAAAGGTGACATAAAGCATGCACAGTGACGATAAGGCTGTTTATATGTTCATATCCTCTAGAAACATTTTCTAGAATTCAAATGTGGTTTACGTTTCCTGTAATTTCTGTTCATCCTTTATTTTTGCACGTCCCTGGCCAGACAGCTCTTCACCCCAAAAGGCCTTGCAGTACCTCCAAGTACTGACAATACCCACATTAAAAATTCTAATGCTCCACAGGGGTGGAGGAGGAAAAAAGTGACTGGTGGGAGATGGCAAGCTTAGAAGTATCAGAGGAACATGAAAAGGAGAACTAACTTTCCTGCCTTTCTCATTTTCAGCAACCAGTTATTTTGGCATAGAAATATCAAGTTAGCCTGGTATCCTGGTTTCAGCTGGGATAGAGTTAATTTTCTTCATAGTAGGTAGCATAGTGCTGTGTTTTGGATTTAGTACTACAAGAATGTTGATAACATACTGATGTTTTTAGTTGTTGCCAAGCAGTGCTTAGACTACTCAAGGACTTTCTGAGCTTCTCCTGCTCAGCCAGGTGCATAACAAGCTGGGAAGGAGCACAGCTAGGACAGCTAACCCAAACTAACCAAAGAGCTATTCCACACCATATAACGTCATGCTCAGGGGGGTTAGTTGGTCAGAGAGAGGGAAGAAGGATCGCTGCTCGGGATGGGCTGGGCATTGGTCGGCGGGTGGTGAGTAACTGCATTGTGCATCATTTGGTTTGTATATTCTCTTACCATTCTCATTATTACTATATTATTATTTTCTCTTATTAAACTGTCTCTATCTCAGCCCACGGCTCTAACCTTTTTTTGCTTCCTGATTCTCTCCCCCACCCCACTGAGGGAGGGGGAAGTGAGCGAGCGGCTGCGTGGTGCTGAGTTGCCAGCTGGGTTAAACCACGACACCTGGCATGATCTATCCTAACTCCCATTTCCTAATTCTTCTATACCAATGGTGGAGTCTACCAGTGGCTGTTTAGGGCTGTCCTGCTGTTTCAGCAATTGCCAATGCCAATCTGTGCTGAGGACAGGAGCTAAAATGTGGTCTACAGTCCACAGCCACAGCACACTGGGTCAGCCCCGTTGTACCTGCAACACACGGTCTTCTCCTTAGC